CAACACCACTGCAGGGCCAAGATCTGCGGAGAGAAAACATGAGTCAAGCTGCAGCTGGGCACTGCCAGGCTCACCACAGCATGAAAAGGTGCTCCATGACCTCCAGGGCTTGAGGGACCCCTGCTGCACAGCCTTCTGGTCAGGGGGTGTCTCTGGATGCTCTGGAAGGAGATGTGCACCACAGGACAAATTTTCTGGCCAGTGGCTGCTCTGTTCAGAGTCACCGTGATACCTCCAGTGCCCAGTCCAGTGTGGACACACAGCACCCCCTGGGAAAACTTCAGGTTTTGGTTCTTTTAAAAATACAGCAATCCAACAAACCCAATGGGATTCAAGCTCCCAAGTTGCCACTGAAACATTTGAAAAGGGGATGCCCAGGGGCCCCAAAAACTCTCTGGAGATCCCCCAAAAGTGACAGTGTGCTTTCTGGGTCACCAGGAGGCCACCCTGGGCTGGGGGATGGGGTGACACCACTCCCCAGAATGGGTCATAGGGTGGCCCAGACAGGACAGGCAGATGACTCAGCTTCCCAGAAACAGGGTGAGCTTCAGCCTTGCAGCCGCCTCTCCCTCCTCTCACGCTGGGCTCGACTGCACACACCGGGACACCCTCTGTCTGCAGTGGGTCTCACATAGACCCCAGACCCCACTGCCACCACAGCCCTGGCCCTGCAGACACTCTCTGCTGGGTCATGGAAGCAGAAAACACCCAACCTTTCCACTTCTGCCTAAAGCCATGCCTTGCCCAAATCCAGCTGACATTTCCATGCCTTCCTCAAGGGAAAAGTCCTCCCCAGCAAACCGTGGCAGCAGCAGGGCCAGAGCAAGGAATCAACGTGCTGGGGAGCTTGACACATAGAAAAGATGCTTCCCAGCCTGTCAAGATCATCCCCTTTCCCTGGAGGCTCTTGGTGATCCCCATCCCACCATCCCCATCCCGGCTCAGCCGTTGGCACACTGCAAACCCAGAGCAAAATCTGACATCACTTCACCTGCACCAGCGTCGATGCAGCTGCAGCCCCCAGCTCTGCACAGCTCAGGGCTGTGCACCTCACTCCCAAACAGGCTGGTCTGTGATCAGCACCCGGGAAACACCTGATCCAAAGGGAGATGGAGGCAGTTCCCAGCCCCAGAGCAGCAGGGTGCCCAGGCAGGGCTGAGTGGGACAGCTGCCACCAGCACTGCTGGGGATCCAGAGATGCCGCGGGGCACACCGAGTGCCTCTTACTCACCTCTTACATAGCTTCATCCGGCTGACACAGGTCAGATGAGCTCTGGTGAGAAACCACCCTGCCTCGTGTGCATCTTGGTGCTGCTGCAGCCCCAACGTGAGCAGGGCAGGCTGTGCCCATTGGGGGACTGACCTCACTCCCCTCTCCCCTGTGCCCAGTGCCACTCAGCAGTATCTCTGGTGCATCTTCACCCCAACAACTGGCAGTCTCTGCCCACTTGCAGCACCCTTTTATCTGAGAACTTCCCATGACTTTGGAAACTGCCCCGACTGAAGCCTGAACCCTGGAGAGCAATTATTTCAAGGTAGAAAGTGAGACAGAGAGGTTTTAGGGACTAACCAGGCTGGACAGACTGGCTTAGATCAGAGCTGGGAAGGAAAGGCTGTTCCCTCTCCAACGATGTTTTAATTAGACAACACAGCTTTCTGTCTGAGCATACATTAATTATAGGGATTACCTGCAACAGGGCTGTCGTGTTAGACAGAGCCTGGAGCTCCTCACTGGACTCGTTCAGCTCATTAGAGCGAAGGGATCGTGGGCTGCAGGAGTGGCCACGCTCAGGGCAGAGCTGAGCAGGCTCTGGGGATCAGCAGACAGAGTTCTAACAAGGTATGACAGCCAGGAGCTGGTGTGATGTCAGGGTCGAGGTGGGAGCTTTCAACATGCTGAGGCAGGCACACACACGGGGCAGCTTATCCCACAGCAAGGGAATTTTCCATCCCTGAATTTTTAAGGCTGAAGAAAGGAAAGGCTTCCTGAGTGGAAATGAATGCAGAGAAATTCTTCTGACCTACTTTCTGGTGTGCAGGTTGGTTGATGGCTGCTCCTGGTTTTCTGCCCAATGTAACTGTCCAGTTGGACAACTGTCCTTGGAGTGTTCAGGCTCAGCAATCACTGGGAGAAGCCTTGGGACAACTCACTGGGTCTCCCAAAGTTCCAGATCTGCAAGCAAAACGTGGTGCCTGACTGAGGCCGCTCAGGTAGAACTGGGCTGGTTTGCAAGGCAAAATCTCAACCAGACTTTCTGAAACCTAATTTCCTGCCAATAAACTTATCAATCTCCCAATCCTGGGGCTGTTCCCTGGGGCAGGAGACTCAGCAGACAGCGTTTCATAACACGTCGGCTCTGCCAGCCAAGGTGGCTTTGAAGATGAGGGTGGCTACAGCTGTTGCATATGTGACACACACCCCCACGTCCCACTGAGGAGGGATAACTCCTCTCTGTGGCACCCAAGCACTATAAAGGCAGATGGTTTGTTACTCCAGGATATGGGAGTTTTTTTCTGAGTCCTACAAAAGGTTCAACTTTCTCAGCTAGGCTTCATGAAAACAAGATTAAATTGACTGCAAAACGAAGTGTTGCTGCTGATTCTGCCTGGCCTCTGATTCATTTCCCCAGATAAAACCACGCAGTGTTTAGTGCAGGGTGACAAGAAGAGTCTGTGAAGCTACTCGAAGCTTATGTGCACGAAACCAGGATGAACATTTTGAGCTGATTTCCATCAGCAACTGTGCACAAGGCTGCAGCCAACTCTGCTCAGGTACCCTGGGGAGTTGTGCTTCAAAAAAGGCCCAAGAAGCAGAAGTAGATGTGTGTTTTTTTAATCTTCAGTTATGAAAAGTGAAAGCCTAGTTAGGCACAACACTGCATCTGCCCTAGACTGTGGGATGCAATGAGTGTATTTAAGACTGTTTTAAACACAGAGTAGGCACAAGATCTCACCCACATCACCCATCTCTGCAGCAGGAGATAACAGATTTCATGGTCAAACTCCTCTGGAGACATTTAATCTAGAAAGGACCAACCACATTTCTAAATGCCTGACCCAAATGTTCCAAAACTTGGATGCACACTTGTAGCTGCAGTCCTGATGGCTGCTCACATGCTGGAGTGGCTTTTGAGAAAACATGACTTTAAAACCTTCAGCTAAGCTCATGCCATGTGGCTTTGCTCAAGGCTGACACTGCTTCAGCATTTTTCTTTCTTCCCACCCTTCTGTGATGGCTGGACACACACTCACTTGGGCAGAGAAATGCTCTTTGAAGGCAAGAACCTGCTGGAGAGATTTTCTGCAGAGCTGAACTCCAGCAGGACACCAGCAGAGAGCTCAGAGCTGCCGTTATGGGAAATCAGATTCTAAACTACAGGATGGGTGTATTAAGGAGATACACGTATTCTGGAGAATCACCCACCACAGTGGTTTCCTTGGCACAAATTCAGCAGTTGCACATAATCTCAGGTTTAGAGAGGACAGCGATTCACTGACCACACTCTCAAGGCTCCTCACCCGCAGCCTGGAGCTCAGTGCTTCCGCATTTCACACACAAGCAAAACTCCAGTCCTTCCCATAACACAACTGGGATTTTTCCTATTGAAAAAAACACAGTGCCCCACACCTCTGAACTGTTCATTCACCCCAAAAGCAATTGGCTCCCACTCAGCCTCCAGCCACGGGACCTCAGCAGTGCTGCCAAGCACCTTTCCTTCCCTTTTAAGCCCAGCTGCAGAGCACAAAACACCAAGTGGCTCACAGCTTGCAGTCAACCAAAGTTTAACCAGCTGCTGCTTCCCCAGAGCAGAGCAGGAATCCTGCCTGCCCAGTCCAGCCACCTGTGAAAGCATCTTCAACAACGCTGCAACTTCTATATACATGGGAGGTTTAGAAGTATTTCCCCCCCCCGGTTTAGTTGCAGACACCTTAATTTGCCAGGCATGAAAGCCAACACCACTTACTTTGCAGGAACTCAGAAGCCAGTGAGCATAGAGCACATGGATCCAAACATATTCTCCTTCTTGCCAGTCAGCCTGGAGAATTTTCTTTTATCCCAGAGTTAGTCCCAGTTAGGGGCTCCCATGCATTTCAGACATCCTGACCTGAGCTCTCCCGCTCTGAGCTCCTTGAGGAGCAGCAGGCTGTGAGCAGGCAGGAGCAGACACACCACAGCTTCCTGGCCCAGGAGGTGGTGGCTTCAGCCCGGGGTAGGCTGGGTCTGTGCTCAGCCGAGGCGGGACAGCCAGGCTCCGCGGGCTCCCAGCACACACAGCACCCTCTGCTCCCGCCCGGCTGGGCTGGGTGCTCAGGGGAATCTAAGGAAGGAATGGGGAGCCCCAGATCATCATTACCTTGCAAATGAACGACACCTTACAAGGAGAGAGGGGAAAATAAAACACCAACTTTATTCACCAGGGGCGTGAACCGTGTTGGGTGGGAGGTGGCAACCACTGGAATAGGAGTCTGACAAGTCAGGCTGTGGAAATCCCAAGGAAGCGTCAGAATAGGAGTTGGCTGAGACACAGGGCTAATACACCCAGTTCGTAAAGAGGTGATGATGTTAAACAGTGTCAGAGCACAAAATAAACTCAAAAATGTCTCTGCCCAGCTCAGCTCCCCAGTCACGGGCCACTCCAGTGAGCACCCATGCTAAGCTGGGCACATTAATCCTTGTCACCACTCAACACTCAAGTGTGGGAAACAAACAGCCATCTGTGAGGGAAGGGCTCTGAGCAGCCATTGTTAAACCCTTGAGTTGAGCTCCATGTGTGGAGAACACGAACTCAGAACAATAAGGACAGTAGGGCCAATTCCGTTAGGAACCAATGGATGCTGAAGAGCCCAAGGCAGCTCACACCACCTTCCACATCCACACAGCTCACAGCATGATCCAGTGGCTCTTCAGGAGGAGAGTCTCACTGCAACAGGTTTCCTGCAGATGTTCTCATTCAGGTTTGCTGTCTCAGTGTGTTATCTGAGGTGTGTCTGCAGCAACGTGAAATCCCACACGACATGAACAGCTCTGATTGTATCTTCTTCAGGCTCAGCCTTTCTGGTTAGTCTGGCAGCCTGACCCTGCCAGCACGCACAGCCCTGCCCAGGCTGACAGCTTTACAAGTTTCTTAGAAGAGATAAAAGAGGGGCACTACAGGAACAAACCTTTTCATCAGAAAAGTGACTCACGGAAGAAAAGGAAATCGATCTCTTCAATTAAAAAAAACTGTGTCCTTCAGACACTGAGATGATTAGCAAAGTTTGGTTTTTTTCTTAAAAGAAAAGGCTTTACAATGCACAAATCCCACCAGAAAGACTCTGATGAAACCACCATCTCCTCCAGGGCAAGGACTGGCTGCCACCAATGCAGAATGCAAGGGGAGAGGACATCCTTCCTGTCCAAAGACTTGCCAGGGAAGAGCACTCAGCTTGCCTGGCCTGCTCCCAGCCCAGCCTCAAGCTCTCCCACCACAGGGCTGCACGCTGGGCACACACAGACCTCCTGCTCTTTATGTTCATCTGGGGCCCAGCCCAACCCGGATCTGGGTCTTGAGGTTTTTTAGTAAGAGGACCCATCTTCACTGAGCCACCTCGGACAGAAACGCCACCTAATGATGGCAAAAATCACAGGGTTCCCTGTGGAGTTGTTCCTAGCTAGGAGGTTTGGGAATCCTGTTACTTTGCTGGCTTATTCCCCCAGCTTTGGCACTCTACTTGTGGCAGTTTTCCATGCCAAGCCAATGAGTTAGGCTACAGCATGTCCTGGGATACTCTTACAGTCAAACTGCTGAAATCTGATGCTTGAGGCCACTAGTTCCCACCTCCAAGCTGCCAGTTTTCTGTCTATTCCTCACACTAGGGCTACAAAGAACTGCTTCCCCAAAAAAATGGAGTTCTCCAGTAAATCCCACAGCAAAAACCAGAAGGCAGAGAGCAGCTGAAGCACTTTGCCTTTGTTGTGTTCACCCAGCACAAACCTTTTGTACTTTGCCAGGGGGTGCTCAGGCCCCTACCTCCACCTGTGCTCATCAGGAAACTGCAGACAGAAGCTGTCCAAGCCCCCTCAGCTGCTTTGCAGCCAGCAGTGTTATCACCTGAGCAGCTACAGACTGTGGATGGAGGGGCTACCACAGGGGAAACAGAGCAAGTGTGCAAGAGAGCAGAGAATCATATTTCTTGGAGCTAGTCCTCATCCAAGGCCCAGTCACTGAATGCTGTCAGGGCTGGATGGATGTGTACTCTTCCCCCTCCCAACAGAGCTCAGAAGCATCCAGAAACTGCTGCTTTTCCACCCAGCCTGAGGTGCAGAGGAGCAGGACAGCTCACCCAGGCTCTGAGGTCAGGAGCATTGGGGCTGGCTAGAAGGACAATCCCTGCAGTCCAACGCCTTCCTCAGTGCCTAGAACTCAGTCATCTTCTTGTGGGTGTCTGCTTTCTTCTGCTCCCGCTGCAGCCTGGCTTCCTGGGCCTGCAGCTGCCCCAGCTGCTTGTGGGCATCAGCCAGTTTCTCCTTCAGCTGAGCTGCTGCAATGCTGTGCCTGAAAGGGAAAAGCATAATGGCAACATCATCCTGCACGATAAGATCAAAGGCTTGTCCTCATCCCCGCGGGGTTGGCCCTTTCCTGTAGGATTAGCACAAGGGACATGCTGAAAGCCAGGAAGAACCTGATGCTCAGCACAACCTGGTCTGGAAACTGTCCCTAGGATGCTCAACAGCAGTGTTGCAAAGGTAGGCACAAGAAGGAAAGGACTCCAGCACCTTTTCTCTGAGAGCTCCTCTCTGCTACAGCCTGAATTCCAGACACATCTGCCAGCGTCCAAGCTGGTCTGAAGCGCACACAAACTTTCTCCTCCACTTCCCTTAGGTCTCATCCAGATACATTTCACTTGTTCCTCCTACACCTCATTCCATGCCCACCCCTTCCCAGAAGCACCAGGAATTCAGTCCCAAGGAGAAGGTTTCCCTACCGTCCGATGTTGCGTTCCAGGGCCTGCTGGATCCCAATGATATCCCTCTGCGTCCGTTCAATCTTCTCCGCAGTCTGGAAGAGGCGAACACTCAGGGCTTTCTTGGTGCTCTTGCTGGCATGGTAGATCTCTTTGCTGTTCCTCTCTGGTACTGCCATCCCTCCTGCCTTCTCCCCAGAGCTCTTCCCACGCAGTTTCTCGTTCAGAAAGTCAAACACGTTGCGGTGGGACTTGCGCCCACCTGACTGTCCAGAGCTGTTTCCCTTTGCTCGGCATTTCCTTGATTTGCCTGGGTCCAGCTTCCCCTGCTTCTTCTTCTGGAGCACCTCAGCACACTGGTCCAAGGACTTCCCTCGAGGAAGTACCACAGCCTGCACTGGCTCCACTCTGCCATCGGAGTTCTTCCCTAACCCTGAGGGGAGACAACGAGTGATTATGGCAAGTGAGGACCTGAGTTCTCCAAGTCACCTCCCACCACAAGCTCATGCTGACAGTCACAAGCTTAGGACAACAAATTAGACTTCTGAGGTACCAACAGCTGTAACTGCCATCCCAGGGGAGCAGCAAAGGCCATGGCACAGCGGGTGCAGGGACCAGGCCAGGAGCCTTCCCAGCAGAGCTGTGATTCAAAGCCCAAGGCCATCTCTCAGGCTGGTTTCTGTGAAGCCAAGTTCAGCCTCATATTCTCGGCTGCTCAAGCCAGGTTCTACTTCAAACTGGTTTGGTTCCTCTGAGAGAACTGGAGACAAACATAGGCAGCAATGCTGCCCTCCCAGAGCCCCCAAGGCTCGATGCAATTTGGGTAGGGAGAAGCGAGGTCAGCAGGCTTTGAAGTCTTGTGTCTAGAGCCAGGAGATGTGTTAACACAGACATCAGAAGCTTCACAGATCAGCTCCCTTCTACCTACAGCCTTTGAACTCCTCACACAACAGTTCTCACGGCTTTGATCATGAACTTGACCGTGGTTCCTCCAGTGTTTGCCATTACCATGCAGGGGCTGGTGCCCCACATGGCTGTGCTTCAATGGAATAAGTTATCCCTCTTCCCTCTGACATCTATCACATTGCTTGAGCCTTAGCCAACAGGCCCTTCAGCACAGCAAAGTTCTAGCTTCATCCAAAATCTTCTCCCCTTACCTTTTCCAAACTCATATCCCATCCGAACAAGCAGTTTGGAGCCAATTCCACGAGTATGAGCTTCCCAGCCACCAAACGAGGAGCTGCATGCAGGAGTCCATTCCCCATTCTCTGGAACTCCTGAATCTATCACTGTGACACAGAAGAGAGGAATCAGTGAAACACAAGAACAAAGCTGCTGTGCAAAACCTTTGTATTAGGGCACCAACACAGCATGCAAACCCCTCACGGGGCAGCACAGTACACTTCTCCCACCCTGAAATCATTTGGCTGCTCCTCTAGCCTTAGCTCCTACTGAGTTGTCACCTTCCATGAACATCCTTACTTCCACTGCACAGGAAGTGACTGAAATGAGAGCTCTCACTTGATTCAATGCACATACCAGCTCCCAGTTCCAGGCAGGATCATCTGGAAGTTTTATGGTTCCTTTCCTTCTTCCAGGATGGTGACACAGACTGACATACACATCAGAGTAAAATTTGGCACAGTGGTGTGTAATACTTATGCTGTGCCTCCAGCTCCTGTCTCTGGTATGAGGCTCCTCTAGTCCACAATGCCAATTCTGTGTTCTTAGGATCAAATAATCTCTGTATATTACATGTAAAGAGCTCTAGGGCACAACTTTGTCCCTGTGACACAGCCATGGCACTAGGACAGGGACAGTGCTGCCCATGCAACCTCAAAGGAGTCACCTGGGCACTCTGTGTCACCTTTCAAAAGCAAAACAGGGCACGATTGTTCTTGTGGCCTCATTGAGGCACTGAAAGGACCCAACATTTCCATTTACTGGAGTCTGGCACTCCTGGGTCATGGAGCTGCACAGAGTTCCCAGGGATGAGGAAAGCTCCTGATTCACTTCCGAGCTCAACTCAACCAGCCACTTACAAAACAGATTCAGAGCTTGGAACTCTAAATTTCACACCTTCTTCTTCCATGTGTGGGAAGTTCCCATAGAAACCTCCAGCCTTCATTAGCCCAACGATTTGCATAAGCCAAAGATTTTAGTTTGCAGATAATTACTGTTTTCTATCTTTCAGCAACACATAAAGAGATTAACTGCTCTTTCATCAGAGGTGAGATACAGGGAGAGCTCCAGGACAGCCACTGAGTCCCACAGAAAGGCAGACCCTGATCAGAAGTCACTTTTGCTCACATCCTCCTCACTCTCTCACCTTTGGCATAACCAGAATCATCGACATTGTCCTCATCAGACTCTGCAGATTCAGCAGCATCTTCACTTCTCAGCGGGGGAATGACACTGTCTCCTTCCACAACAGCCTCCTTGAGCAGCAGGGAGTCAAACTTCACTGTGTAGTACCCACTGTCTATGTCTGTGGAGGGAACAGCAAGGACAGTTCAGTCAGTGCCAGCACAGTGAGGGAACAAGGCCCAAGGAACATGTTTGAAAAGATTCTGGGTTTAATTTGTGCTTTACGTTTCTGTCTGAGAGGGAGAAGCATCCACTGCAGTGAAAAGCTCTTTTCACACTGCCTGTCTGGATAGCTAAAGGTTTATTTCTATACATGAAGAAGAATGTTAAGAAATGGAATTAGAGGGGAGTCAAACTTGCTTCCCTCTGACTTAATAATAGTGAATGAGAGATGGAAAGAGGGAACCAACCCTCCCTCCTCCCAGGGCAGGGGGAAGCCTGTATCAGCAGCTGCTGGGCAGAGCCAGCTCCCCTGGGTTTTGTTTAAACTAAAGAGCAGATTATTGCAATTCTCACCTAATATACATGCAAATTCCTGCAGCACCTCCCTCTTCCCTCACAGAGCACTTAACGACCTAGTAGTCATTTCCTTTCCACATTCCTGTTCTTTATGTCTCCTTTTTGTCCAACATTTCCAGGTAGTTCCCTTCCCAAGCCTGACAAAGTTCAGACTATTTCCTCAGCTATGTTAGGATTTTCAGTTCAGAGCTGCAGCCACAGAGTTAACATTTCTCCTACCATTAACCGCAACAGCCAAGCTTTATATCCATGTAAACACCAGAACCCTGGGAAAGCCCATTCACACCAACACGAGCCTCCACCTTCCCCCAGAGCCCTGGGACAGCTCTCACACCCCTCACCAGTGATTCTGGCCGTATACCATATCCCATCGCTGTGCTTGGCCAGGCAGGCTGAGCCCACCCCCAGGGCACTCAGGTCAGGCTCCTGGAACGGCTGCAGCTCCTCCACAGACACCACCTGACCATGTGAAAACCTGCAGGGAAGGAGGAACAGGAATTTTCAAACAAGAATTCCTTCCCTCCTTAAAGGAAACACACGAGTGTCAGCAGTGATGAACCTGCACCGCTAATTAGAGAGATTTGGCCACACGATGTGGCAGTTCCACAAGTCGTTCATGTTTCACCTTAAACATATGATTTATACCATGAAACAAAGGATGCTTCTCACCCTGAGGAATTAAGCTTCCTTGCTAGTGATATACCCAGTAAAAATGTTCATGTCTTGGAGATAAAGAGGATCAGAGCCAGGCAGGGCTCCAGCTCAGCCTCCTCCTCCAAGCACAACCAGCTCCAAGGACACATCAGGATGCTCTAGGCTAAGTTAAGTGCTGAAGATCCCCCAAAAAGGAGCTTCTACCACCTCCCTGTGCAACTGGAATGTAAGCACTGTGCACAGCAAGCCCTGGTGTTTTATTTCAAAGTACTTAGTTGGTTATTAACACAGACTTGGGTGTTTTATTTTGAAGTACTTAATCAGTTATCAGTTTATCCACTCAGTTATGTAGTATCTCTGCAGCTTTCCCATGGGATTTTCCACTTTATCTCTGCTAAAAAGAACAGCTAAACTGATGCCTCTGCTCACCACAGGATGCTTTAAAAACATAAAGGGAAAACTTCTTTGGGTGAAAGCAGCACAAAGGCACTTCCAGAGGAGGTTTATCCCCGTGAACAAGGCTGTCAGCCCCAGGCAGAACACAAACCCTTCCCACCCCTCTCTCTTTACCGACAGTTTTCCTTAAATCTGCACTTGTCCTCCAGGAAGAAGGGACATGGCTTCAGGGACTTGTGGGTTGGGTACAGGTACAGTACTCTGACCCCTGCACTGCCATCCTCCAGTTCGTCTGTCCCCACAATCATGGCATTGTGGTACTCCAGGGTCCCCCAGGAACTGTAGTAGGGAGCTTTAACCTTCATCCCACTCAATTCCTCTTCCTCCCTCTCAGACTCCTCCTCCTCTTCACTGCACTTTGATTCGTTTTGATCACCAGTTTCTCCCTCTCTCTCTGATGAGATCTCCCTGTTCTCAGCTGAAGGCTCCTCGTCAGTTCCAAGCCCAGCAATAGCTTCTTTGAAAGCAGCATATTCCTCATCTTGGGCAGAGCTCTCCGGGTGGGAATCCTGCCCCGGAAAACCCGCGGGGGAGGAGGAGGAAGCATCTGTGTCTAACGTGGCCAGCAGTTTGCTCTTTTTCACGGCCACCAGGCTGGACTCGGTCAGCTCTATTAGCTGCTTCAAATCCTCCTGCAGCTGCACCAGGTCCGACTGCTCCGACGGGTCCAGCCCCGCGCCCAGCGCCAGCTCCACCTGCTGCAGCTGCGCGTGGTACGTCTGGATCGCTGCTTCCAGGCTCTCCTCATCCATCCTCGGCACAACAAAGGCGCTTTTAGCCGCGTCCTTGCCGGGAGCTCCGAACGCATCAGAGTTCACTTATGAGCAACTTTTCACGCAACAGGTGCGCCTCAGTGACCATCCACCATCCCGCTCCTTCCCTCGGAAGTCACCAGGGCGATACTCCTACAGCAAACAAGCGGCGAGAGGCGATGGGAGACTCCGCAGAGGGGCTGAGCC